TGTTTTATGATCTTATTTTGAGTATCTATTTCTGATTTGGTTTTAGTGTAGATGCCATGTATCCTGGTTTTGTTGATCTGTGTTGTGGGTTCTCTATGGGAAGGACTTCCTTAAGCATTTCTTGTAGGGTTGGTCTAGCATTCACAAAGTCCCTTAATTTGTTCGTCTGAGAATGCCTTGATTTCACCCTCATATTTGATGGATAATTTGGCTGGATACTGGATTCTTGGTTGGAAGTTCTTTTCCTTCAGTGTTTTATATATGCCATCCCATTGCTTTCTTGCCTGTATCATTTCTGCTGAGTAATCGGAGCTCAGCCTAAATGTTTGATTATTATAAGTAATTATTTCTTTCTTCCTGGGCAGCTCTCAAAATTTTTTCTTTGTCTTTGGTTTTGGAAAGTTTGATTATAATATGCGTCAGTGTTATTCTCTTGGGAACTATCTTGTGTGGGGTTCTATGAGCTTTTTGGACAAATATCTTTTCTTGCTTCATGATATGGGGGAAGTTTTCTTCCACAATTTTCTTGGTGGTCTTTTTGCCTCTTCTTGTTCTGTTATATTGTTTCATTTCATGTCATTGCATATAATTCTTAGGTTCTCTTCATTTCTCTTAAATCTTTGTTCTGATTTTTCGTCATACAGGCTAGTGTCCAGGGATTTGTCTTCTAGTTGGGATATATGTTCTTCAGCCAGTTCTAACCTACTCTTTTGTGCTTCTACTGTGTTATGTAATTCTGTCATTTTAGTACTCATGCTCTGCATTTCAGTAGTCATTTTCTACATTTCTAACTGCTGTTTTTGTATGAGTTCTGATTGTCCATTAATCTTAATATTCTGTTCCTAAATGATTTTCTTGAGTTCCTCCAGGGAATTGTATGTGTTCTCCTTGTTTCTGTTTGGGGTTTCGTTAGGCTCTTGTATAGCACTATAAACATATCTTCTAAATTCCTTCTCAGATGTTTCTATTGCCTCTTCTTCCTCTATGTATAATAAGACCTTTGTTTGTGGTTTTGCTTCTAATGCCTTGTCCTGTTTTGTTTGATTTGAGGTTGCCTGTTGTTTCCTAGACATTTTGAGGTTGTCTTTAACAGTTGGTTACATGTTGATTTGTTTTGTCTTGGTTTGATGGTTTAATAATTTGAAAAGGTGAAGCTGGTGTATTTTATTTTATTACTGATTCAGGTATTCTTGGTCGCTCTGCAGTTTTCTTTGTGATGGTGGAATCACTGTGTGGAATGTGAATATGGGTTTCTGTTTGTTGTAAAGAGGGTTTAGAGTTCGAACTGAGAGGTTTTATGTTGGCTAAATATGATTTCCTCTATTGAATGAATGAAGTTATTGGCAAAGAAGGTGGGAGTGGAAGAAGGAAAGCTTGCTGTTGCTAGGGTCAGTTTCTAGGATTTGAGCAGGCTGCTACTGATGACGTTGTACTGTTATTTACAAGCCCGTGGCTCAATTTCAGGAAAGATTCCTGTTGTTAGGGTGTTGCCACTTTCCATCAGGCTCAGACACATGCAAATACCCTGCTCCCAAGGCCCCCGGCACCAAAATGCCAACCCAAGGCAACTTCCCAGGTCCACGCTCAGCCATGGACATTTCTCTCTCCACCCCACCTGCTCACAGCATGAGCCTAACCTGCCCAGACCACGATCAGCTCAGGAGTTTGTCTGTTAGTCCGCCCACCTGTGGTGCCAAAAATGCACGTGGTTTCAGCAGCTCTGGAGTTGGGAGAGTGCCTGCTAGTAATCTGTGGTCCCAATATTAGTGATAAAGATAAGCACAGGCCTCTCAGTGCCTCTTAAGCTGACCCATGACTATTCAGTGACCTGCTGAGAGGGGAGTGAGTTCACCCTCCTGGAGCATCAGTGAGCTCTCTGCTTGGGTTTAAGTGGTGCTGCATGTGCCCGTTTGCACCTAGCCGACCCAAGTTACTGATAAAATCAGGTGCTGAAGGTAGATCCTTAGGGTGTTTGCTGGTATGTTGGTGTGGTCAGTGGTATGCTGATATGGGGTGTCTTCTGCCTTGACCCATGGTCTCAGGTGGCTGTTCTTGCCTGCTGGTTACTCCCAGGGAAGTCTCTAATGGCCTTTCTCAGTTGCCTGTCCACTTTCCACCAGGTAGATCTTCTTTAATTTCTTTCCCTGTGCCTTTCCTCTAATTCTACACCTCTGTGTTTGGTGCATTCTGATTCAGTGAGCTGTTCAGAGCACCAACATCCCTAATTCAAACTACTGTACCTAGTTTTTCAAGCACTAAGATGCTAGAGGGAAATAGGTGATTACTGATGAGATTCCATTTTGAATCTGTCTATTTTTTATTATTATTGATTTGAGTTTTTTTTTTTTCCCTAACATAGGCATTTTAAAGCTATACATTTTGCTCTAAGCTGCATCCCATACATTTTTACATGTCTTATTTTATTTTCATTAATGAAAATATACTTTCTAATTTTCTTTTTGACCCATGGGTTATCTATAAATGTATTGTTTAATTTTCAAAAATTTGTGGATGTCCCAAGTTTCTTTTTGTTGCAAAATTCTAATTTAACTCCATTGTGCTCAGAGAACATTATTTTTATTATTTCAATATTTTTGAATATCCTTCATTTTTTAAGATAAGTTTTTCTGGATTTAGAAGCCATGGTGAACTATTAATTTATTTATTTATCTTTCATTACTTTGAATGTTATCCCACTGCATCCTGGCCTATGTGGTTTCTGAAAAGAAATCATCTGTTAATCTTATTAAGGATGCCTTATATGTGATGATCCCCTATCCTTCAGTACTTTGAAGATTTACTCTTTGTCTTTGGCTTTTGACAGTTTAAATATGATATATTTTGTGTGGATCTATTTGAGTTTACCCTACTTGGAATTTTTTTAGTTCCATGGATATGTAAATTATGCCTTTCATAAAATTTGGCTCCTAGCTCTTGTTTCTTCATATATTCTTTCTATAACATTCTCACTCTTCCTTCTGGGACTCCCATTATGCATATGTTAATATGCTTAAAACTACAGGTCTCTAAAACTCTGTTCATTTTTCTTCAATATGTTCTTTCTTTCTTTTCCTCAAACTGGATAATCTCATCTCCTTATCATCAAGTTCACTGATTTCTTCTTCTGCCAGGTCATATGTGCTGTTGATTCCCTCTAGTAAACTTTTAATTTCAGTTACTGTACTTCCTAACTTGAATTTCTGTTTGGATTTGTTTTGTATTAGTTCTATATTTTATATTGCTATTAACTATTAGGAGCTCTGGTAGCATAGTGCCTAAGGCACTTGACTGCTAACCAGAAGGCTGGCGGTTCAAACCCACCAGCCACTCCTTGGAAGGAAAGTTGGGCAATCTACTTTCATAGTGAGACCACCTTGGAAACCCAAGAGGAGTCACTGTAAATTGGGTCCGACTCAACGGCACATAACAACAACAACAATTAGCTATTAGGTGAAACATCATTGTCATACTTTTAAAAATTCTTTTTACAGGTTTCCTTTTGTTTCTTTGAATGTGTTTATAACAGCTGATTTAAAGTCTTTGTCTAGTAAGTACAACATCTCTTCCCACTCAGAGGCAGTTTCTATTGACTATTTTGTTGTTTTGTTTTGTGTTCCTGTACATGGACTATACCTTCCTGTTTTCTTGTTTTTCTAGTAATTTTGGTCAAAAATGGTGCATTTAGGGTTAATATAATGTGGAACTCTGGAAATCAGATCACCTCCAGGGTTTATTATTCTGTTCTATTGTTTTTGTAATTCTTGCTTGTTTTTGTTTAATAACTTTTGTGGAATATTTCTGTAAAGTTGGTATTCCCCATAGTGAGCAGCCACTCAAGTCTTTCTTTGCTCAGTTAGCATAGTGGAAGGATAATAATTGGTAAAATGTTCTCTTAACTTCTTTGAACCAATAGCTGTTTCACCCTTTTCTGAAAGTCTCTGTGTGAGTGTTGAGGCATGTCTTCAATGACCAGGCAGCCTTAACTTCCTGCTTTATAGGATCTCAAAGCCAGCCAGAGGTGAGAGTTTTGGGCACACTCATATTCTTTCTGGACACACACACAGCTTTATATAGGCTTGTGGTCTTCTAACCCACCAGAAATACATAAGCACTTTCCAAAGCTCCCTACATACAACTTGTTTCCCAGAATGTCCTTTAAGATTTTGCCCATGCTCAAATGGTGTTGATGCCTTAGGCAGCTGCAATGTTGAAACCATTGTAGCTGACTATTTTTAACAAATGCCCTGGGAATAGAGCTTTCCCTGTGGAGTAAACTCTGAGGCAGGTCTAATAACAACAATTCCCTGCAGTTGAGTCTTTTTTTGGGTGCTACAAGACATATCAAATAGACAAACTGTTCTGAAAATGGGACTTTCTAAGGAGCTCCAAATCAAGTCTTCTCATTCTGGTGGCTGCAACACTCCTGAGCAATCTACTTACTTAGTGATACCACCTCAGAAACCCAAGGAGTTGCTATGAGTCAGATCCAACTTGACAGCAGTGAGTTTGACTTTTTTTTTTTAGATGGCTGCAAGGCTGATGCCTTTCAAGACTGCTGTGGAGCCAGGTAGCTATGATTTGAGGGTTCTTCATCTAAGGCCCAGGGCTCTTCTACTCATTCCAACTTGAAGATCACCTCTGGCTTGGTAATGCAATACCTCACTGAGATAAGGTGGTTGTAGTTCTCCATCATCATATCTCTGTACAGGGTCCACTGAGCAGAGTCCATGTGCTACCACTCCTCCAGGGTGAGGTCCATAGCAATGTCCTTGAATGACACTTATGTATACAGTAAGAGTCTGTCCAAATTCCCTTCAGAGTTGTATCTCTGGGCACTTGGGAACAGGATCCTGTGCTAAGTGCTATAAAAGCTGCAAAGCATCCACATGTCATAGACCCACTCTTCTTTTTATTTTTAAATGTAGCAAATTAGAAGACTGGACTAATTAGAACTGTTCCTAAAATGAAGATTTTTCTAATTATTTTCCATTTTGTTACAGTCTGGAGGAAAAAGAAGCAGTGTGGCAATTTGGACAGAAAATGAAGTTTACCTTGGAAGTAATTATCAACCCAATAACACAAGACAACATGAACCACACAATTTATTTAGATTTAACAAAATAATAACTTCTATGGAACTGAAAAATCTTCTATATTTATCATCTGGTACCCTGACTATACATGTTATTGAGTACACAGCACATCCTTTGGAACTTGCCTTATTTTTAAGTTACTGCATTGTATGTACTTCCAACAAACATATTTACCTGGCAATATATAATGAAGATACAAAACAGTGGCTGTTTAAAGACTTTACCCTCCTAGTCCCTATTAACAGTGTTTTAGTTCCACGTTTTCTATATTCAGCAACATCAGAATTAGTATTATGGGACAAACACAGGGTCTATTACAGTTATCATAATTTCACAGTTTCTGGCATTTTGCAAACACCTACAGAAAATGGAAATCTATCAAGACTATCGCAGAACAGCAGTATTCACAGTGTATTTTTAGGTGAGGTATTTTCATTCTGCAAATAATTTTGAGATTTCATAATAAATATCTTCCTTATGAAGATGTAACAATTTAAAATATACTATATTTAGTGCTTTTTTATGGTTAAAGGTACATGCTTTATCACTTAGAAAATGGGTAGATTTAATTTCAACTAACATTAATTATGATCTCAAATGAGAAAGTGGCAAACGGAAGTTTTGGTTTTCAGTTTCATTTTAATTAATCAACAGACATTGACTAAACAGCTTCTATATGCATATTAAGTATGGGAGATGATACAGTGTGGTAGAGTTAGATAGATCTGGATTCAAGTCCATGAACAAGTCATTTAACCTCTCAGTTTTCTAATCTATAATATAGGACTGTTGTACTGACTGAAAAAGGAATTATATAAAAATTGCTTAGAAAAATGCTTGCCAAGTAGGATTACAATTAATAGTAATTATTCTTGATTTTAGGGTTCCTTGGGTGGCTACTAACTGGAAAGTTGGAAGTTCAAATCCACCCAGAGGTGCCTAGTGATCTACTTCTAAAAAGATAAGCCATTGAAAACCGTATGTAGTACAGTTCTACTCTGATACACATGAGGTTCCCAACAGAGAGACAAACTTGTCTGTCAGTTTGTCCTACCATGGTAACATGTTGATGTGAGTTTTGAGGCTGAGCCACTGGTGTTTCAAACCCAGCAGGATGCACATGGTGCACAGGTATCAGCCCAGCTTACAGACTAAGACAGACTAGGAAGAAGGAAGAGGCCGTCCACTTCTCAAAGAATTGGCCAGGGAAAACCTTATGAATAGCAAAGAAACACTGTTTGGTACATTACCGTGCAACTTTATGAATACTCTGGTTAGGTTAGAAGGCTCTCAAAATAAGATTGGGAAAGAGCTACATCATCTGAGTAAACCCAGCCTTACTCATGTGGATAAGGTAAAGCTTTCAAGACCTCCATTCCCTGATGTGGCACCACTCAAATTGAAGAGAAACAGCTGCAGACATCCATAATCATCGGAACATGAAATGTATGAAGTATGAATCTAGGAAAATTGGAAGTTGTCAAAAAGGAAATGGAATGCATAAAGATTGATATCCTGGGCATTAGTGAGCTGAAATGGACTGGTTTTGGCCATTTTGAATCAGACAACCAAGTGATCTACTATGCCAGGAATGACAGTTTGAA